CAATGAGAGTTTTAAAGACTTGAAGCAGCTTTTCTTTGAATTGTTTGCATCACAGTAAAGCTGTTCCTAAAAATCCCCTGTGATGTGTTTTATAGTTAGAAAGTCTTTGCTGTAATTGTGCAGATGTCTGCGTCATTCACGTTTGACCTGCCTATTTTGTTTTATGCAACTTCAAAAAAATCCAAATAAAAAGAGATTTGCGGACTATTCTAAGGATTTTATTTTATAACTATTCATCAGAATTCATATATTGTCCAAAGAGCTGTGTAAGTGGAAGGGTAACCAATTACATATTCAAAACTACACTCATTTACTTTTGAGCCTGTTATAGTCAGAGGGCTACAGTGTGTTTAAGAGTAATGTCTGTAATTCTGAAACATTTTAAGCAACTTGTTTTATGAAGCTACTGAACCAAAGCTTTTTAGTTTCATGTTGATTGCTTTCAATGCTTCAAACAAATGCAGCCTTTGTCTGTGTGTCTTTAGGTTTTTATCGTATTGATGTGGTTTTATGCTGTTGGACTGTGTCTGATATGTTTTCTCAATGTGTGTATGCCAGCCCTATCAGAAAAAGGAGGGTGACGGCCACTTCATTTGTACAGTGTACTTGCAAGAAACTGTGCCGGAAGAACAACTTGTCAAAGTAAGTTGGATTTGACCCAATTACATTGTAATGTTTTTATGCTCAGTTTGTTTTTGTGTGAAAATCTTCAGTGTCACAGGACCTACAGTGCCTTGTGAAAGTATTCGGCCCCCTTGAACTTTTCAACCTTTTTCCACATTTCAGGCTTCAAACATAAAGATATAAAATTTAAATTTTTTGTGAAGAATCAACAACAAGTGGAACACAATCGTGAAGTGGAATGAAATTTATTGGATGTGTCAAACTTTTTTAACAAATAAAAACTGAAAAGTGAGGCGTGCAATATTATTCAGCCCCTTTACTTTCAGAGCAGCAAACTCACTCCAGAAGTTCAGTGAGGATCTATGAATGATCCAATGTTGTCCCAAATGACTGATGATGATAAATAGAATCCACCTGTGTGTAATCAAGTCTCCGTATAAATGCACCTGCTCTGTGATAGTCTCAGGGTTCTGTTCAAAGAGCAGAGAGCATCATGAAGACCAAGGAACACACCAGGCAGGTCAGAGATACTGTTATGGAGAAGTTTAAAGCCGGATTTGGATACAAAAAGATTTCCCAAGCTTTAAACATCCCAAGGAGCACTGTGCAAGCAATCATATTGAAATGGAAGGAGTATCAGACCACTGCAAATCTACCAAGACCCGGCCGTCCCTCTAAACTTTAATCTCCAACAAGGAGAAGACGATCAGAGATGCAGCCAAGAGGCATGAGGCACAAATCTGACCTTTATGGAAGAGTGGCAAGAAGAAAACCATTTCTCAAAGATATCCATAAAAAGTGTTTAAAGTTTGTCACAAGCACCTGGGAGACACCAAACATGTGGAAGAAGGTGCTCTGGTCACATGAAACCAAAATCCAACTGTTTGGCCACAATGCAAAACTATATGTTTGGCGTAAAAGCAACACAGCTCATCACCCTGAACACACCATCCCCACTGTCAAACATGGTGGTGGCAGCATCATGGTTTGGGCCTGCTTCTCATCAGCAGGGACAGGGAAGATGGTCAGAATTGATGGGAAGATGGATGGGGCCAAATACAGGACCATTCTGGAAGAAAACCTGTTTGAGTCTGCAAGAGACCTGAGACTGGGACGGAGATTTAACTTCCAACAAGACAATGATCCAAAACATAAAGACAAATCTACAATGGAATGGTTCACAAATAAACGTATCC